CCATAACATTTGTTTTAACGCCGCCTAGTACATTATTTCTGTTATCGGGACGGAACTAGATTCAGTGTAACGCCACTTTCAATAGTATTTCATTTATTTGGACCATAATGTTTGGTTACACCCCGCTTTGAACAAGAATTCAATTATATTGACCATAACATTTGTTTTAACGCCGCCTAGTACATTATTTCTGTTATCTGGACGGAACTAGATTCAGTGTAACGCCACTTTCAATAGTATTTCATTTATTTGGACCATAATGTTTGGTTACACCCCGCTTTGAACAAGAATTCAATTATATTGACCATAACATTTGTTTTAACGCCTCTTAGTACATTATTTCTGTTATCGGGACGGAACTAGATTCAGTGTAACGCCACTTTCAATAGTATTTCATTTATTTGGACCATAATGTTTGGTTACACCCCGCTTTGAACAAGAATTCAATTATATTGACCATAACATTTGTTTTAACGCCGCCTAGTACATTATTTCTGTTATCGGGACGGAATATGATTCAGCATAATGCCGCTTTCAGTAGTATTTCTTTGGACCATAACAATGACTTTGATGTGTCGCAAAGGTATTTCTGTTATCTGAGCTACACGAGGAACAAAAGATAAGCATCATGGGTATCTTCGCGAAGATCGAACATATTGAACTAGTCTATATATTGAATGCCTGAAAGCTATCAACTGTGTATGTATTATCCTGGGTTATTTAAAATGTATCATTATCTAACTACTTATACGTATATCGGAAAATATGTGGTGTCAATCATAGTGTTAATGCCTGGTATTTTTCGATTATGGATATTGTTGTCAAATACATTTACTAAGATGGGTTTGTTTTCTATTTGGCGATAAGACACACTCATGCACATTTCAGTGTTTGTCTGATCAATACACCTCCTGCAAACTCAAATATGTCAATATTAAAGATAAAACCCGTCCATTTAGTTGAGCAAGATCCCTTTAATAATTAAATAGGAACAGTTGATTTTATTTTAAAAATGGAGAAAAGGCATTGACAGACACCACCCTATTCTCACATCATGCATGTGCAAAAACTTCAATCTTGCACGAATGTTACTTACTTTTTACATTTGTACAGCGTCGCATAAACAGACGTTTGAACGTTGATCCACAATGACACTGTGTCAGATAACCCATGATACAAGGCGTTATAACAGTAATTATCAATCCAAACCTGTGTTCCACAGGAGACATTGCTTGTGTGAGATATCGTTTTGACAGTGAGGTGAGGTGAAATTGGGTTTAACGTCGTGCTTGAGAATATCTCGCTCATATGACGACGTGCATGCGTGTGTATGTGTATGTGCGGCTGCTTGTACTAGCCCAGACTTAAGCTGGTTTTATAGTGCTAGCTCACTGAGATACCATGCCGCAGTGAAGCATGAATACCCCACTTAGACACATTATACTGACTCCGAGCCGACCAGTCCTTGTTGTACCCATTAATGCCGAGCACCAGGCAGGGACCAACAAGTACCATATTTTAACGTCTTTTGGTATGACCGGTCGGGGATCGAACCCGCGACCTTCCGCTCTCGGGCGGACGCTCTAACCACTACACCACGGAGGCGGTCGTTTTGACAGTAGATTTTGTACAATGCCCTACAATGCTATGACGCCATGAACTTGATGCCGTCACAATGCTATGACATCCCTGCACCGCAAGTCTAATGGCAGTACTGTGTTCAGGGATGTTCATTTTTCATTGAAAACCAATGAAGAGTGATACTTGACGATAAATAGAATCTGACCGTCGTGGCTTCTGATATCAAATATATCAACACTCATTGACAAAAGTATAAATATCCTCGGCAAGCATCGGATATTTGTAACTTTTTCGACTCGTGGTGAGATTCTCCATTTATCTAAATGGATTTAAATTTAAATTAAAATTTATTTATTAAAATTGATTACAATTTGTAATCAGACAAACAAAAACTATCCCTCTCTCGAATCCACATGTATCATGAGTAATGATACAAACGATTCAACACCATTCTTTCCAACGCAGTCGTTTGCAACATTAGTCGAAAGTTTATAAATGGCGCAATATGACCCTTCTCAAACCTACGGGAAAACCTTTTTACTTCATTTATATATTTAGCAACAAACAACGCACGTACAAGAGGCTTCAATTTAAATCCATTTAGATAAATAGAGAATCTCACCACGAGTCGATAAAGTGAAATGGACGCAAATGGTATATAATAACGGTGAATAATGGTAATGACTGACTGATGTGTCACCTGGTTAATCCTTCTTTGCAGCAAACACTTCAGCCTACCTAGCAAACCAATCATATGTCAACCATAAGTCGATGTGTGGTTTATCCGAGCTGACCAAGCTGATATTTCCCCGATTCGACTTAATACTATGTCACTAAAGCCTCTTGTACGTGCGTTGTTTGTTGCTAAATATATAAATGAAGTAAAAAGGTTTTCCCGTAGGTCTGAGAAGGGTCATATTGCGCCATTTATAAACTTCAGACTAATATTGCAAACAACTGCGTTGGAAAGAATGGTGAGTGAGTGAGTGAGTGAGTGTCTTTAATTCCTCCTTGATAAATAGGAGATATAATGAAGTAAGCTTAAATCACAAACATGACACAGGCCGGAAAATTAATGAGGTAAACTGAAGAGTTAATCATTGAATGGTGTTGAATCTTTTGTATGATTACTCATGATGCATGTGGATTCGAGAGAGGGATAGTTTGTGTTTGTCTGATTACAAATTGTTTCTAACACATGCAAGATTGTGGACTGGGTGCGTTATCAAACCCTTGACAATTAAACTAGATGATAAATAACGTATGGTGTAAAATATGAATTGCAGATGATTCACTCCCCGAACTGGTCTGTTTTCCGATGACATATGTTTCAAATGTTGAACGCATCTGTAAATTATAGTCAGTATTAATTTTGAAACACAGAATGTATTTAGAAATGAGAAGTTTAACAAGGTAAAAACCTAACAAATTTGGTGACATATATTTGTAAGAAACTGAGAAAATAACAAACCTTCTACCCACACAAGAAAAAGTATAGCAACCCAAGAGTGTAAGAAACAAAGCAACTGGGTAGAGGATTAGTATGATGTTTGTGATTGTGCAAGTGGGATATTGCGCTTTGTGTGTGCAGGTGGGATATTGCGCTTTGTGTGTGCAGGTGGGATATTGCGCTTTGTGTGTGCAGGTGGGATATTGCGCTTTGTGTGTGCAGGTGGGATATTGCGCTTTGTGTGTGCAGGTGGGATATTGCGCTTTGTGTGTGCAGGTGGGATATTGCGCTTTGTGTGTGCAGGTGGGATATTGCGCTTTGTGTGTGCAGGTGGGATATTGCGCTTTGTGTGCAGGTGGGCAGCTGTGTGTGTATTGCTTTTGTGTGCAGGTGGGATATTGCGCTTGCGCTGTGTGTGCAGGTGGGATATTGCGCTTTGTGTGTGCAGGTGGGATATTGCGCTTTGTGTGTGCAGGTGGGATATTGCGCTTTGTGTGTGCAGGTGGGATATTGCGCTTTGTGTGTGCAGGTGGGATATTGCGCTTTGTGTGTGCAGGTGGGATATTGCGCTTTGTGAAGTGTTAATGATTAATGGCGGATACACAATCAAACGGTGTACTATTTGAATGTCATTGTACGACAGGTAACAGATGTGGTATAGTATTCCAGAAGGATTGGTTGATCACATCTTAATTGGTAAAACGGCGCGTAGTATTCTATAATTCAGTCCATAGTCATAGACCTGTGTTATTTTGCTTGGCACTAAATGACACTGGCACAGATTCTTTATTGATTGACAAACACAGACCTTAATTAAGGAAGCATGTCTATGTCTCTGTTGTCGAGGCATCTAGTTTGTTTCTCCGTTTGATACACTCAACAATATTCTAGCTATATGGCTGCAGTCTGTAAATAATCGAGTCTGAAGCAGACAATCCAGTGATCAACAGCATGAGCATCGATCTACGCATTTGGGGGATACGATGACATATGTCAACCAAGTCAGCGAGCCTGACCACCCGACCCCGTTAGTCGCCTCTTACGACAAGCATGGGTAGATGAAGACCGATTCTAGCTCACATCTAGATCTTCACGGGTCTTCTCAGCAAGTGTTCACAACAAGCTTGTTCTGTTTTCTTTGGGAGCATGTCAATTTCGTTCGATATAAAACACCGGCATAGCATTGGAGCAAACACACCAAACGGGACATCCCGTGAACAAGGAGATTGCCCTAATCCAAGCTAAGGTCTTAATTCAGATTTCATGATCAGATTGACGTTTGGGTACGTTGTAGATCTTTGATTGTCCGAGGTGGGGTTTAGATTAGTTCGCACAACAGAAAGGGCACGTCGATTATAAGCGCTATTAAATGCTTACGTCAACACTAAACATGTTTTTAAAACCCACAAGACAAATGGACTTGCACCATGTCCATGTCCAGTCGAAGGCCTGGCGGGTTTTGTATGTCTGGAACTGGAAGTGTGAGAGGGAACTGTATTTATCCACAGAGAGAAGGATTGTTTGGTTTCTATTAAGCAGAACATGATTAACGTGATGATAGGAAGTGTATGTTTAACCAATGAACACTCAAATACCACGCAGTGTATTATAATTTCCACAAATTAATTTACACAGTGGCTTTGGCGTTATAACTGTTTGCAAAAATAAATGTTACAATAACGGTTCACCGGTGACATGTAAATATATGTGTGATAACCCGTTATACACATCAGCACGAACGCTGCATGAGGCACAAACAACTGCATGGATTATATAAGCCGTTGACGATACTCATCACGACTACCAATTATCTGGAATGACAACTGACTGTTTTATTAACTTCGGCACTTTCCGTCGGGATCAAATAGTAAACCTGAGCCATACATTGTTCTCTGAAGTTACAACCACTGATTGGGAGGCTGATTGTTTGTTGCCAACCTGTCATCACCTGTCATTTGTTCAGATGGACCTGCTGTGACGTTTCAATGCATGCCCAGTATCGCCGTTGCTGTTGTTGATGACGTCCATCGGTAACTTCGAATTCAGAATCTTAGACCATGGCTGTCCAACAGGATCCTCAATTTGAGAAGGTTTGTGGAATTCTTACTGTGTAATTTCTGTTTTTGTTTCGGGGTATTTGTTTGATGTGTATTGATGCGCCCGAAGCTGATACGTCGTGAGGTAACTGAAATGCCGTATGAAACCTGTTACAACTATCACATTCACAATATTCTTGATCCGGGGTAGATTTGATCTTCAGTAACCCATGCTTGTCGCATGGGGAGACTATCGGGATCGGGTGGTCAGGCTCGCTGACTTGGTTGACACATGTCATTGTATCCCAATTGCGTAGATCGATGCTCATGCTGTTGATCAATGGATTGTCTGGTCCAGACTGGTATATTTACAGACCGCCGCCATATAGCTGGAATATTGCTGAGTGCGGCGTAAAACTAAACTCACTCACAATATTCTTCCAATCACACATTCATTAATATGTATAATAATTTCGGAAAAGAGATGAAATGGATTGTTTACATGCCGCCGTTGCATTATGGCTTTTTCGCAAACACCTGGTGATTCATTCAAATACATTTCACTACTATTTTCTCCTTTACGCCTACAATTTCACCTACTTTACGCCAAACGGAATTTGTTTCTGAACTTATTAGGTACTGACGTTCTATATTATGGTCACGTTCGAGATTATTGTACTCCTATAGCTATGCGCATGCAGGTGTACAATATACAAGGTGGCCACGCTGCCTTGTACTAAATGGATATATGCTTTATTATGCTAGGACTGAGCATAAGAGAATAACTGAGTGAGTGAGTGAGTGAGTTACCAGAAATGGGTTTCTCACATCATCTCACCACAACAAACTGTGTCACAACAAAATATGTCCCTCATGATTGGTGTCACCAAAGTGTAAATGTTTTGGATTTATGTATCCATTCAAAAAGCTGATATTTTAATGTGACAAGTACACTTGGTTAACATGTTGAGCTATAGCAATACGTTTAAGCGCACACATAATTACGTTTTTATGAACAAGTATACTAAAGGAAAAAAGTAACTGCGCATAACATAAAATTGGATAAAATAATTATTATTTTAAAAATTATCCAAATAACCCAAAATAAACATGTAACAAAGTACTTTACAGGACATTTGAGGTCACGTATCGCGCGTGGCACGTGCACCTTGTGAACAATGAACTTAATAATGCTCACTTTATGCATGCTCTTTGGCACCTGAAGTTCACACACTTGATATTGAAAATTGAAGAACGGTTGATTATTCTCTTGCCTCCGAATGTTGTGGAAAACACGTTAATTTCAACCTAAACTGCGCTTACGTCATGCCACGGTTTAAAGAAAATCAACGTTTCCGCGCCGTGAGCATGCTGGAGACAGGAATGGCCCAGAATGAAGTGGCCAGACAATTTGGTGTCCATCAAAGCACGATATCATCTCTATGGAGACGTTGTCAACGTAATGGGAACACGAGAGATTTGCCTGGGACCGGCCGTTCACGCGTGACGTCACGTCATCAAGACAACTACATTTGGCTGACCGATCTAAGGAATCGATTCCAGACTGCCAATTTGACTGCCCAGACCATTCCTGACTTACGTGCACTTAGTTCCAGGACTGTACGGAACCAACTGAAGGAGCACAACATCCGCCTCGACTGCCTGCAATACGTCCAATTTTGCCTCAACGTCATCTACAGGCACGTCTTGCCTGGTGCAAACAACATCTACGGTACAGGAGACAAGATTGGCATGGTGATCACTGACGGTATGCCGACACGTGCGTTGTTCAACGTCGACAGTTTGGTGGCGACAGCGTTATGATATTGGGAGTCATCACATCTCGGATCGGACACAACTTGTCATTGTAAATCTGACAGGTCTGCGATACAAGGATGAGATCATAGGGTCTCATGTGCGCCCGTTCATTCAAATACAGACATTTAAATTCACGCTTCAGCAGATAATGCCCGTCCATATGTCGCTCATGTTGTGACAGATTTCCTGAGACAGCAGAACACTCTGGAACTCCGGCATGCCTCTGCCTCAGTCATCTCACATAACATCACACATTACATGAAATTGTGGGAAAGTCAGTTTTCAACCTGGACACCCACCCTGCACCTGCTAATACTGCCTTTGAACCAACTGCCAACCTTATGCAGTTGAATTGCACGAGGATCATGCATCAAACTGCTGAAAAGCATGTGCAAATATCGTGCATGTGAACAGCTGCATTTTCGCCAATTTTCACTGATTTTTATCATTTGTTGAACTCATGACAATAATCTTTTCAACGTTATGAATTTGTTTTACAATACATCAGTTCATGTGTAAACAGTACCTTTAAACAATATTGAATATTTTGCAAAATTTAGTTTAGAAGAGTTTCCTGAAGTAAGTGGCTATATTTACACTAGCTAGTCTAAACTTTGGATAGGAAGTATGTATTACAGTTTTTGGCTATTTGGGAGTTTCACATCAGGTTCCTTTACAAATTCCCGTTTAACCTATAGTTTCAGCTTGGGAATCAACCCATACCAAATGACAGAGCAAGCTGCTATGAATAGGCTCTAGTTCGGATAAATACTCGACCAAAGTTACTTGTGGGACTTCCAGTCTGGCTGGCACCTATTGTCCGTGTTGCATTACTTGTAATCAGCTTAGTTCAGAAATCACAGCGTCATTGCATGAACCTGAGCCATTAGGTGTTGCTTCAGCGATTACAACACTCCACTGTTTCAAGCAATATCACCCGTCTTGAAAGAACCTCCTAAGATGGTTATGGATTATCGCGTGTAGTTGTATAATCACCGGGTCAGTCTCACTCAGGCCGAAGGGGAATAGGGATTTTGCATATACAGTATATACCTACTGAAAAATAGAAACTGTCGAAATTAGTTCATTTGCTAGTATACAGACGACAGCAGGGCGCTATTCGCTGTTACACTGTTAACCAGTCTGCCGACATACCTGTTATTACCAAAGGATACTAGCACGAGGGACGATCCTAAATCACCTATCTATTACAATGACACATGTAAGTCCAACTTCATCTTTTTAGTGAGGGTGTGAGTATAGTTTTACGCCGCTTTTAGCAATATTCCAGCAATATCACGGCGGGGGACACCAGAAATGGGCTTCACACATAGTACCCAAATAGGAAATCGAACCCGGGCCTTCGGCGTCACGAGCGAACGCTTTAACAAGTAGGCTACCCCACCGCCCCTAATCATTTTTGAAACATGATATGGTATATGTTATTTTGATCACATGTGTTATTTCTTTTTGCAACTTAGAATCGATGAAATCTATCAGGAAATAGAAGCAGTGTTTGTATCATGTCACTCAAGACTATCGCATTGGATGTGCATGTTTAGGAATATCCACATTAATGGCTACGATGACCAGGCCCCGATTTCTCGAAACAAATTTAAGTCTGAGATCTGACTTGAGTTAGAGTTTTTACTCAAATTTGAGAAAACTGAATGAATTGAAATCGATATTAAACTCAAACATAGTAGACATTTTGAGTTTGGTGGATAGATTACAGAAGTTGTTCGGGCTTTTTTATTTTTAAAATGCAGTTGAGTTAAAAATTTAGCTGTTTCAAATTGTCAAACTCAGTTTTAAATTTGAGTAAAAACTTAAGTTTGTTTTGAGAAATCGGGGCCTGGGTGTATAACTGATATAACGTTTAAAACATTACCAAAAATGTGCTCAAAATACATTTACGTGGGTAAATCTGAAGGCATTAGGTCGTGGTGCTGTTATGGGTCTTCAGAAGCTGCTGTGGGTTTTGTTATTGGGCTGATGGGGTGCTAAATGATGACCTAGAACGGACGAAGGAGAGAACACACTCTTTTACTTGATGGTCAATGATAGAAGGCTATAAAAATACACGTGTGTAATGTTTTAATGCAACACAAACTTCTATGTTATCCATATCGTACTAGGGGAAACACATTTCAAGAGTGTAAATCCATGTTAGTATTGGTCTTCAATAACCCATGTTTGTCGTATGGGATCGTGTGGCGAGGTTCCCTGGCTTGTCTGACTTGTCTGGTGCATGTTGATGCTCTCCGTTGGAGGATTTGTTTGAAAAATATTGAACACGTATTAATAGGCAATCGGGGTTTTTAACATCCACAAAGAAAACATAGATAGTAGACACGCATAAGCAGAACCTTGTTGATAATATGTTAAAGACGACTGGAAAACATGTGTATATATGTTGCAGTTAATGTGTAACATCAGCGATTTGTACAATTTGTCAAATAAATCGAATATTTTTGCAGGCAATTTACAAATTCACTGAGTGAATGAGGGAATTTACAAAATGCCTGATTTCACACATTGACTGTAACATATACTGAAAAGCAAAAGAAAGGTCGTAATATTGGAAATGACATTTAAATATCAATGGAGTATTTGAACCTATTTTTTTTAAATATACACCGGAAGTCAAGTCGAATCGTGGTCGTACAGTCTGTTTTGCCCAATAAAGTATTGTTTGAGATTGAGGTTTGAAATGTTTTTGTTTGTGGAAAGGGAAGACTTCGCACGAAAACAACATTGAAATCGAGATGCACGTGCATCATGCATGCATTCAGGCATAAATTGCCGGCTTTAATGGCAATCGTTCATTTGTTTCCTGAAGAGGTAGAAACTTACATACATTGTTAATATTGAACGTTTAAACTGTTTAGTTATTTGGAAAGCATAGTTTAAACACGTATTGTTTCTGTTTAGCGAGTCAGGACAGCGTTCTTCCTTACACTTTTGTTTATGTTTGCCGTCCGTGTTATCGCAACTACCCAACATAACAAGTTATTGATTACCGCTTCGCCGTGAAAACAAAAAGTCAAAACAAAAATATGAAAACGTAATAAATAACGACTACAATCGATGTTGTAAAATTGGAAGTGGAATTACAGTCATAATGATATGTTGGTTTGTGTAATTACAACATAATTATTATTTAACTATTTCTATTTTAGAATCAGGTACACTTGGTGATTTTTGCGAGACCAGATATGTTTTGAAAGCAAATC